TTATCTCTCCAGCTGTGTGGGCTAGCTTTATGTCAACTTGACATAGGCTAGAGTCATTTGAAAGGAAGATACTTCATTTGGCAAAATACCTCCACAAAATCCAACTGTAAAGTATTTTCTTAATTAGTGATTGATGAGAGAAGGACCAGCCCATTGTGGGTGGTCCCATCCCTGGGTTGGTGGTCCTGGGTTCTAGAAGAAAGGAGACTGAGCAAGCCTGTAAGCTGCACTCCTCCATGACCGCTGCATCATCTCCTACCTCCAGATTCCTGCCCTGTGTGAGTTGCTGTCCTGACTTCCTTTGATGATGAACAGTGATATGGAAGTAAAAGCCAAATAAACCCTTTCCTTCCCAAGTTCCTTTGGTTGTGGTGTTTCTTCACAGCAATAGTAATCCTATTAAGATAAGGAAAACCCTTTCTTCCTAAATGTGTCCATCTGTCTGTTCATTTGCTTAACTATTTGTTCATCTATCTTCAGCATGGATTCATAAGTTTGTTTTTCACTAACACAGAGTTCATTCTTGTGCTTAATTATTTTGTTCTTCAGGTTGACCTAGAGTTGGCAGTTAACACCTAATTTTGAGTCTTTCTGAAGAGTCCAACAGTATAAGGACTATACCTAAATAAACGTCCATATTGTATTGCCCTCCAGCATTTAAAACTGAGTGTGTCTCTGATCCTACCATGCTCTGAAAATCATAACCTAAAACACATGTGATCTGTTTCATTAGAAAACTGCAGCCAGTTGTAGAAAAATGCTATTTTAGATACAAGCTTCCTTTTCTTATGGCTGTAGAGAACTCAAGTAGCAGAATACCCCAGTGGATACTTGAGAATCCTCCTGAGTATATTGTGTCCAGTACCATTGGGATGCCTCTTCCCCACATCATGCCAGTCCTTGTCTTTGTCTTTGGATATTATCTCACTTTTAATACTTATTTTCTTTGGTCCTATCAAGCCCCGAGGTGCAAGACTTTCATTCTCACCAAAAATAGGATCCTAAAACAAGGATTCTGTTGATAGTAACTTAACTGTATCCTGAACGTAGATGACCACACATCCTTAAAGGCAAGCCTGGGCCCAAGATGGCCATGTATGGCCTAAGCTAGGACAAGATACTCCAGGATAGTAGGGTGATGGAGGAAGGTCATTGGCTAATAAAGGAACTGCCTTGGCCCATTTTATTGGTTAGAACATAGGTAGGTGGAGTAAACAGAACAGAATGCTAGGAGGAAGAGGAAGTGAGCTCAGACTCCACAGCTCTCCTCTTGGGAGCAGACGCCTCAGAGAGACGCCATGCTCCCAGCTCCCAGGCAGACACACACGATGAAGCTCCGACCCAGGATGGACATAGGCTAGAATCTCCCCTAAGTGCGCTACACAGATGATTAGAAATGGGCTAAATTAATATGTGAGAATTAGCCTAGAAGAGGCTAGATAGAAATGGGCCAAGCAGTGATTAAATGAATACAGTTTGTGTGTTGTTATTTCGGGCATAAGCTAGCCAGGCAGCCAGGGTGCTGGGGACGCAGCCCCTCCGCTCTTATTACTACTGTAGGGTGAGCTAAGGTGTCTCTTGCAAACAGCTTATGAGAGTTTTTACATGGTTGCACTATGGAGAGAGATTGTTAATCATCACTGGCCCCTGGTCTAGCTGCCACTCCTCTTTAGGAACTTGAGCATCTCAATTTAGTAACTATGACTCCTTGGGGGTCTTCCCATACTGAATGTGCTGCCCTTCCTTTCTGGATGGCACAGGCTTGTCTATGAGATCCGATGTGCCAGTTTGTTACCCTCATACAGTTGGCTCACACACGATCCTGCATTTATCATGGGGAGGCAGACTTCTGTGCTTGGTGGGAGGGCTGTGAACAATGCCAGCCAAAGAAATTGAGCAACTTCTCATCTGGTGACTCAAGAAACCCTGAGTCTGGGCACTAGACGAGTACAGCTGAGTGAATGCAGGTGATGTCAAAGCGTGGTTAGTGTTTTTTAGGTGAGGACACGGTCCCGAAGGGTATAGTATCAAGAAGCCAACCCGAGGAACAGTTCTAAGGGGCAAACCAAACAGGGAAGGAAAATGCCTTCAAGGTACACATGTGCAGTGTTAGACAGGTGACCTTCAAGGTAAGCAGGTTCTTCCTGATGCCCTCCCTCTGATCTGGTAAGTGTGACAGTGGTGAGATACATAGGGTGAAGGCTTGGGGTCACTGTGGAAGGTACAGTGAGACTCACCCCATACACGTGTGTATGTGTGTGTGTGTGCGCGCACACACACATGCTTGTGTAGGCATGCGTGTTTCTTGGACTTAACAATCATCAGTGTTGGGATTACTAAACTGATAATCTCAGTATCTAAAACTGAAGTTAATAACTGTATTTAGCCTTTTCAGCATGCAGTCCAACAGGTTTTATGTATTAGTGGACCTTGGTGTAAACAGTAAATTATTTTGTACTATGTGCACTCTGTAGAAAGATTGACTTGTTTCAGTATTTGTTCTGCAGTGACCTTGTTTAACATACTCATAATTTACTTTGTAAAATACACATTATTTGAAAGAAAAGTGCTCTTACTGCATTGGAAATAATCCATTCTGGGCTTTTTCCTGATAGGTTTTTGTAGTAATTAGGGCGGCGGGGCTGCGTTCCCAGCACCCCGGCTAGCTTATGCCCGAAATAACAACACACAAACTGTATTCATTTGAACACTGCTTGGCCCATTCTCTTCTAGGCTAATTCTCACATATTAATTTAGCCCATTTCTAATCATCTGTGTGTAGCACCCCAAGGTGCGCTTACCGGGGAGATTCTAGCCTAGTCCATCCTGGGTCAGAGCTTCATCCCGGGAGCGGGGCATGGCATCTCTCTCAGGCGTCTGCTCCCGAGAGGAGAGCCGTCGAGACTGAGCTCACTTCCTCTTCCTCCCAGCGTCCTGTTCTGCCTACTCCTCCCACCTATCTTCCAACCAATAAAATGGGCCAAGGCAGTTCCTTTATTAGCCAATGACCTTCCTCCATCAGGTTTTCACCTGGCTTCTCTTCTAAGCAGAAGTATCATTAGCTAGAAAGTGTCTCCTCTGTCGCTGACTGGGAGTTCTCAGCTGTCTGTGCCATGAAGCCTCTTTTCAAGTAAAGCACTATCATAGGCGTTTTCTTTTGCATTGTAGGAAGTTGTAAACTTCCGACATCGAAGGCATTCTTGGCATTTTTAAAAACATAGTACTGTGTATAGAAGCAGAGCCTTCTCCATACCATCCCTCCCCTAACACGAACTTATCAAATACTTGTCATAGTGACCATATGAGGCTCTGTCTGCTATTCTTGCTGCTCTATAAACAAGTTAATACAGCTAGGAAGAGGAAGGCAAAGTAACCAACAGACAGGTGGTTAGTTACCTGGGGCAGACTCAGACTTGGGTTAGAGCTTCTGTGTCCCTCTGTTGTCTTACTTTTAAACATGTATTTTATTCCCATGTGTGAGGATGGTGTCTATGGTTACGTATTTTCATTATTCTCACCTCACACTCTTCCCCTCCAACTATTCCCTCTGAACTTCATGACATTGTCTTCTTAATTATTTCTCTTTTCTCTCTCCCTTCTTTCTCTCACAGACATATACACACAGAGAGTGTATGATAGAGAGAAACATACACTTATATATAAATACAGTCTGCTGAGTCTACTTAGTGTTGCTCATATGTATATGTGTTAGGGCTGACCACTTGGAATAGGATAACCTGTCATGGAACTTAGCCCTAGAAAAGATTGACTCTCCCTCACTGAGCATTAATTGCCTTTAGCTCTTCATCTAGAGGTAGAACCTTGTGAGATTTATCCCCATCTACCTTGGAATATCAGCTAGTTATATCATTGTGCAGGTCTTGTTTAGGTGGCCATATTGTTAAGATTTCATGGGTGCATTTATGTGTCATGTATAGCAAACACTGTTTCTCAGCTGATATTCTGGGCCTCTGGGTTTTATAGTTTTTCTGCCTAGAATATCTTCCATGATACTTCCTGAGCCTTAAGTCTAAGGATTGTATTGCAGACATATCAACTATGGATGAGCACCCCACCTTTAGTAGTTCTCTGCATCTTGACCAGGTGTGAATTTCTGTGATGGTCCACTTTTATGGCAAAAAGAGGTTTCTTTGAAGATCAGCGAGAGTTACACTTATCTGTCAATAGAAGGATATTTAGACTGGAGTTGGGAATTATGCTGGTTTAGCCAAGAGGTTTTTTTTATTGATCTGGCCTGAATTATTTGTGTCTCTAAAGTTAACTTTGCATCTAGAGAAATGGGAACAGTGGATTCTCAACTTGATCTTATTATATAAAACTAAGATGCCACCTTCCCTGTGTATATTCACCAAATGTCTACTGCATACTGCAGGTTTCCTGCGATCCCATAAAAAAGATGGTGACTAGGAGTGGTGGTGAATTAGCATGGAAGAGCAAGACACCTCCCATTGTTGCCTAGTACTTCTGCCCTGTTAGTTGTGGTAGATCTCGTGCTAAGACATGTTTCCTTCGTGGTCTGATCTCAGAGAAAGGGGCAATATTGTGTCTCAGCTAGGGTTTCTGTCGCTGTGATAAAATACTATGACCAAAAGCAGCTTGGAGAGGGAAGGGTTTGTTTCAGCTTAAATATTCCACTCATAGTCCATCTCCTAGTGAATTGAGGACAGGAACCAGAGGCCATAGAGGAACACTGCTTACAGACTTATTCCTCATGGCTTACTCACCTTGCTTTCTTAAAGCACACAGGACTACTAGCCCTGGGGTAGCACCGTCCACAGTTTGTTGGGCCCTCCTATATAGATCACTAATCAAGAAAATGCCCTACAGACTTTGCCACAGAGCAATCTAGTGGAGGCACTTCCTCAACTGAAATTACCTCCCTCCACATGACTTCAGCCCTGTCAGGTTGGCAAAAACTAGCTGGCAGACGCTTGGCAGAATTCTCAGTCTTGTGTTACTCTTGTCATCTTGTTTTCTAGCATCCTCCAGGCCAGACATCAAGGAAGTACAGCTCCTGTTCCACCATCTTCCTAGATGACAGCACAGTCAGTCAGCCAAACCTCAAGTACACCATCAAATGGTGGGTATGCAGACTTCTTTTTGGTTTATTCGTTTTGGGGCTGGAGGTTCATTTGTTTTTGTGTTGTTGTTGTTTTGAGACAGGGTCTCTCTAGTCTTGCCTCTCCTGGAACTTCCTATGTAGACTAGGCTGGCCCCGAAATCACAGAGATCTTCCTTCTTCTGCCTCCCAAGTTCTGGGATTAAAAGCGTGGACCACTATACCTGGCAAGATTTTTTGTTTTTAAAGTTACTTTTGTTTCATTTGTACGGGTATTTTGCCTGTGTGTATGTTTGTGCACCGTGTGAATACAGTGCCTTTAGAGGCCAGACAGACCCCATATACCTAGAGTTATAGAGTATTGTAATTGCCACGTGGATGCTGGGCTCCTCTGGAAAAGCTGGCAGTGCTTTTAATCTATGAGCTGTCACTCCAGTCCCCAGGGTGTGCACACTTCATTATCTTACCAAAAGCTGTTTATAGGTCCTGGGAGAGTCATTACATGAGAATCATATTTTTTTTAGAAAGCGGTTGTGACAGCTAAGATGTGGGTATTCAGAATATTTGTGCATATTTCTATTTATATAAAGAAACTAGCATTTTACCTTATTTTAAATCTTGATGTCTTAAAATATGTTCTTTTTATCATGTTTAAGTATGTACAAATTTTCCCTTTCAGTTTTGACTGAAGCCATCCTGGCATAGAGCCAATAGTATTTTGACTTTTAAATGAAACGAGACCTTCCTCCTCCAAGTCCCGCATGGAGACAGGCTGTGCTGAGAGTAGGGTGGTCTAGCCATGATCCCGTCCGCTGCTGGAGGATTGAGGGAGCATCTTTCTACATTTGGCCTCAGATCCTTTTCTTAAAATGGACTTGAAAGGAAGAAGGGGGAGTCTTTGGGTCACATTTGTGAGTGTGTGTGTGTGTGTGTGTGTGTGTGTGTGTGAGAGAGAGAGAGAGAGAGAGAGAGAGAGAGAGAGAGAGGTGGGGAGAGAGAGGGGATTCACTTTTCTCATGTACAGAGGCAAAGAGCTGATTTTCCCTCTACTGTCCTGTGCCCATCAGCATAATGACAGCAGCCATCCCTGCCAGGGATCTCAAAGAACTTTTATATTAGGGCCTGGGTTCAACAGCCTGACTGAAAATCTGGGACATTTTATCTCTGTTTGTTTGTTACATTATAACATCTAATAAAAAAAACCATATTAGTACATGAAGTACTAAAATTGCTACCTATAAAATGTTCTGTTTTCATGGGCCAAGTTTTCTGAGTTGCAGGCACTGTTTACAGTTGTATGTGACAATCACTGCCTCAATCCAGGTACTGAGGACTGTAACTAGCTCCCATGGTCAAGGAGATGAAGTACTCAAAACCTAAAGGTAGTAACTAACCTGATGAATCCAAACAGCAGCTCTGCATCACAAAACACTTAGAAGGGAAAGAAGAAGCAGAGAGTAGACAAAACAGCCAGCTATGAGCCCCCCCCCCCCCCACTTCATCTAACCTTACCCTCATTTACCAAAAAGGAACATCCCATTCCCTTTCTGAATTTTTTTTTTTGTTTCTCTCAAGTCCAGTACCCTCTTATCCTCATCTTTGTCATTGAATTGATCAATCATTAAAACTATATTTGTTGTGGATATTCTGGATATCTTGGGCATAACATGTGTTACCTTAACCAGCTGCTGTTCTTTTCGGAGAATACTTTTGAGTTCTAAACCATTGACTGTTTCATAAACTGATTTGGTGTGACAGCACCCCTGTAAATTGGGGATTGCTCAAGTTGACAAGAGAATTTGCAAATTTTGCTGGGGCCAGGATGACTGGAGGTTTGGGGGATGATTCTAACAGTGGGAGAAGTGGAAAGGTGGGCTCTACTGGGAGATAGGCTGCAGGGTTAGGGTGAAGCCAATGTAGGGGAAGTGAAATGGTGACTTGCACTTTGAGGGAATAGAGTCTTTACTATATTCCTATATATAATATGCCTATCACTAGTTTAAATGCCAAATCTGTCATATGGAGCTAGACTTACCAATCTCCAGCTCCACAGTCATGCTAAATTCTAGAACTGTCACAAATGGTAGCTAAAGAGGAGCAGAGGGAGCCTGGGGAGTCCATTGTATTCTATTGTTCATGCCTCACCAATGTGGTCCTCTAGGACAGCTGCTTCTTATTGACCACCCACCAGAGATGTTAGGATTGCCATATCCTTGCTCATACAGCTCTGACTAAGGAGAAGGCAGGTGTGTTGCCTACAGTTACAAATCTTTTTTATGTGGCCTATGTCTCTAATGCCATTGCCTTTGTGGGAAGAATGGGGAGCAAGCTATTAATTCTAGTTAATAACTAAACCAGTCATTAGGTTTGAGGTGACTCTCACCACCACATTGTAACTAATTGATAACTAAGCAGTGCTTTTCTTCTCTCTAAAGATGATGTAGTAAAAGAAAAGGTTACAACTTACACAAGTCAGAAATCCTTATCTGCTGTTTGAACCTGATTGTCTTATTTAGAATATAGGGTCTGTGGTAGGGCTTTGAATGTACAGGAAGAAATTCTGAAGCCCTTTCACCTAAGTCATAGCCCTCTTCCACCCCCCACCCCCACCGCCATCAGCTCAGATGCCTTTAGAGGTTTTAGGAAGAAGGACCTGTTACTGTTACCCCTTGGTCCTAAGTATCTTCACACTTGGTTGAGTTCATGTAAGTCTATGGGTCTGGGAAGAGATGTGAATCAGAATATAAGCCTGTGCTGGGGGCATCTGGTTCAGTCTCAGTAAATGCAGTACACACCCAAGCTTCTTAGAGATCTCAGAGCCTGGCTTAGGTCTCTGTTGCCACCCCTCCCATCATCTTTACCTCTGGTGGTTTCTTGAGGGCCATTTTTATTCTCTTGAGAACTGGAGCACATTGCAGTCCTGCAAAGGATTTGTTCTTAGAGGCTAAGAAAATAACTTGGAGGCATTTTTCTATATTTTAAAATAAGACAAAAGGAGTAGAAAGAATTTTAGATTTTTTATTTGGTCAGTTGATTTTTTGTTTTGTTTTGTTTTATGAGACAGGGTTTCTCTGTGTGACAGTCTTAGCCTTCCTGGAACTTGCTCATTTAGTCAAGGCTGGCCTCGAACTCACAGGAACATTATTTTTTTAAGGTAGCCAGTCAACTTGATCATAATCAAAACTATGCCATTTTCTGTTCAGAAGAAAAAGGTTTTATCAAAGTTTTCAAGGTGTTAGTGAATCTGAAGTGAAAGAACACTGGTGAGGAATACATTGATCATGCGCTGGCGAAATACTTAATAGTGTGTATTGGGAGGCTGCAGTTGCATTGTAGGATGCTTTCCTATAGAAATAATAGAACCGTAGATTGCACAGATATTTGGGAACCAGGTTGTTATGGTGTGAATTAATTACTGAGCATTACATACAATTTAAATATTCAGTTATGGAGAATGATTATTCAACAATCAAATTATGAAATATAACTAGCAGCTTTTAAAATCATGTTCATATAGGAATATTTCCTAAGGTGAGAAAAGCATTAACATGGCTAAGTATAGGATGCCAGCCTCTTTGTCACACAAATATAGGTAGAAATAATAACTGTATCTCAGACTGATAGTAGTTATATGGGGGCAAAGAGATTGTTTTCTTTTGTTTTGATATAAAGTTTTTTTGTAACCATGCTGGCCTCTAACTCCATTCTCCTGCTTCCCAAGTGATGGCATTATAGGTGTTTATCATCATTCTTGGCTAAAAGACAATTTTGTTTTGAAATTGCTTCCCCCTCTAGTACAGGGAATCAAACACAGGACCACACATTTGCTAGGCAAGCACTCTGCCACTGAACTACATCTCAACTCAGATATTTTTTTTTAAGCTTTCTATATTTCCCAAAATTTCTGTGTTAAATGTATTGTATTTTACATTAGGAAGAAAATTGAGGGAAATGAATGTTTATTATATTCAGATATTTAAAACGTTTAGACAGTTTTAAGACTGGCCCCAGGTAAGCGACACCACCATCTGAAGAAATGAGTGACTGTGCCACTAGCTGGCCAGGATGGTCAAGGTGGTGTTTGAGAAAACCCAACCAACGTGCTGCTCACTGTTCTTTCTGGTTGTAAACAAACAAACTTATAATCTGCCTAGCCCAGTAGGCAGTGAATTGGAGATTTCTAAATAGGTTTAATTTGTAGCACTTCTATGTAGTACCTGCATTTTAAAAGTGAGGAAAGCTAAAACTCTGATAGAAAAGCTGTAACTTTCCACTGTTACTGTACTGTTTCCAAAAACAATCTCATAATTCCTGGAAGTGATCACCAGAGTGACTTAGTGTGCAGTATGTTCTGATCAGCACTCTGACTGAAATGGAGCTTTACAGATGGATTGTGTGGCTTTTAATTTAGTGATCTCTGCCTGATAGTGTGTAGTACATGAAATGGTGAGTGTGTTTATGGAACACTGAATTTCTATGTTTTGTTTTACAGTGTAGCTCTTGCAATATATTACCACATCAAAAACAGGTATGTGGACATGTAATTCCGCACTAAAAGTATCACATGTTGTCTTGTTATGTTCTTCTCGTTCCTAACCTTGAATCTATATTGTTAACTCGTGTTTTGATAGACCTTCTACAGGTTAATGCACCAGAGTGCCAGGGAGGAGCGGAGCTCCTCCTGGACCAGGAGCACCACAGCTGGTGACTGGTGCTGTGAGCAGACCGTGTGAGAAGGCTCAGAATTCCTCTTCACTGGTTATTTTCTGTACAACTTAACTAAGAATTCTGTGTTTTATAAAATCCTAGTTTTAGTTTAAAATATGATAAAAGCTCTTCCTGATAAAAAGTGTATCTTGCAATGGTTATATAAATTTGCTGAGTCTGGTAAAACTGGATTTTAGATCGTTCTTAAATAGTTAAGTATGAACCTGAGAAGGTGAGTTAGCAGTTTAAGAGTTCTTCTTGTTGCTAAGTCACGAAGACCAGAATTTGGCTCTTAGTCACCCATATTGTACAGCTTGAAAACACCAATAGTTCCAGCTCCAAGGGATATGATGCCCTCTTTTGGCCTCCATGGGAGCAACTCCACATGTGGGCATACTTTCACACACAGGTACACTCACACTTTTTTTAAAGGAGGAAATAGGGTTTGTAGAGAAAATTCACCAGTCAAAAGTGTTCATTGCTTTTGCAGAGGACCTGAGTTTGGTTCCCAGTGCCCACATTGAGCAGCTCACAGCCTCATAGCTCCAGCTCCAAGTGCATATGACACCTTTGACTTCTGTATAGTCGCCTGCACTCACATGCACAGACACACAGACAAAAAATTAAAAATAATAAAAATAATTTAAAAGGAAGAAAAATATAATTGATTTGTTTGTTAATTTAATTGTGCTTCAGGTCTGGCGCCTTAAGCCGTATCTGTAATTCATCCTTTCCAAACATGTTTTCCCCAGTAGTAAGAAGTTGAACGCTGCCTGCAGAGCACTGAGTGTAGATCATTTTAGGGTTTTGTCATGAAATGTACCAAACTTTTTTTCAATGATTTCCTTTTATTGGACTTTTTCAATGTACCCACTTAATTTTCATAAACACAGAGGCCACTTAACTACAGTCACATTTCAGTAACTAATGTGGTATGTTTGTAGACATAATATTAAGTGCAAAACTAGTTTGAGAACAGGAAGGGCCACGAAGCAGAGCGAGACAGGCCCCATAACTCCTCAGGCTGTTTGCACATGGGAGAGTTGAGAGACCATGGAGTGCAGTGTAGATGGCAGTGTCTGGGGAGCAGACATTTTACATGTAAGACAGGCAGAACAGCTTTGGCATCTAAGCTGGGATATCGGTAGCAGTGCAGATTTTGTCCTATCATTTCTGTGGTACAAATCCAAACTTTGAAAACTCTAAAGCTGAAACTATATGTAAGACCAGTAGTGAGATGCAGATGTTCTTTTAAACCAGCTTAGCATCTTTAAGAGATTTCTTTGTTCTTGTTTTGTGGTTGAGAATTGAGCCAAGAGTTCCATGGATGTTAAGCATGCCCTCTTCAGTGACGTATATCCCAAGCCGGCAGTGATCCGAAGTGTTGTGTAGTTCAAGGCATTATGAGATCAGAAACCAGCCCAAGGTGCTGTGTGGAGCACACACCAGTAACCCAAAGCACTATATGAACCTGAAGCTAACAGCACAAAGTACTGTATACCTGAGGTCAGCATCTTAAGGTGCTGTGTGGACCAGAGGCCACAGCCCTATTTGCCACATGTAGACCGATGGCCAGTAGCCTTGTCAACTGTAAGGCCCAGTGCTTCTAAACATTGTTCCCTTCACAGTCCTTCTGTATTACTTTATAAAACTGATACACAAACCACACATGCTGATGAGAAATTTACTACAGTGTGAAATGTAATTTTACCATTTATTAGAAGGAAAACAAACTTGCAGACTTGTGTGATAGATGTGCTTTTTTATTTTTACATGAAGAAATCTTAGCTGAATATTTATACTGCAAGGCACGAAGACTTTTGAACGTTTTTCTGGATTTGTTGATACTTTCATAATTTTTAATGGTGCAGATGCTGCTTCACATATATACCCAATACAAAATAGAAGAAGTGTGTTTAGTACCATTTCAGAAATTGCTGAAAATTCTGTTCTTTCTTATACCAGATTTACTGCATGGTAGTTTATGAAATTCAGGTCATCAACTCATACTGTATTTTCTAAGGTCAGATCTTATAACACACCATAATCCAGAGAGACATTAAGTTTGATGTTGCCATGCTGAGACATGACAGTAGGAAAATACTAAAATTCTTTATTTTTCTTAATTAAACCGTTATGCTTCTATAAGGTCAAATACCTTTGTATGTACAGTAAAAATGCTACAGTTCATAATTTCCAGTAGTTTCAAGTCCCAGCTGGGTGATTCAGGCAGTTTCCTTGGCATTGTGGGGCTGCAAGGTACAGTATTTGTACAGCGTGTTCAGAATAAAAGCCATAGTACAATCACGTGATCCAGTACAGGTGAGTGCTGCTAGAAATGTCTCAGGCTCGATTCCTTTATTGCTGGAGTTCTTAGTGTGTCTTGTAAGCATTTAAGACTAATATTCGTTGCCTGCTGCGTACCCCTTTCCCCAAACTGCTTCACATATGGTTACCAACAGTCCGAAAAAATGATGTTAAAATTAGATCATTTTAGATTTGGTTCATTTGAAAATTGTAGGGGATCATGAGAGAGAAGATGGAAAATAGCAGTGGAATTCATGAGATTTAAAAACAAAATAGACAGGAACTGACTAGGGTAGGAAGAAAAGCAGCCAGGGAGGCTGGAGAGATGGCTCAGAGGTTAAGAGCACTGGCTGCTCTTCCAGAGGTCCTGAGTTCAATTCCCAGCAACCACATGGTGGCTCACAACCATCTGAGATCTGGCACCCTCTTCTGGCGTGTGGGCATGCATCGAGGCAGAATGTTGTATGCCTAAAAAAAAAAGAAAGAAAGAAAAGCAGCCAGAGTTGGAGAGAAAACATGTGGAAGGGTAATGCGGAAGGAGAATGCGGAAGGGGAATGCGGAAGGGGAATGAACAAGAACAACATAAGTTACACATGTATGAGATGTCAAGATGAAACCCATTATCACTCTGTATGTTAACCTAAGAAATTGAGAGGGAAAATTTGGAAAAACCAACATTTTTGCTTAATTCACCTTGAGGTTTTTATCTCTGTGGATTCAACAGCAGCAGCAGCAACAAAAATGATTTAATACTGTACCTGGAAAAAATAACTCCATTATTGACAAATAACCAGCAGGGTTTCTTAAATTTTGCAGTTTCTGTCTGTTGAACTGAAATGTGTTTTGTTTCATTTTGAGTGACATTTATTCTACAGAAAGTAAACTCTGATTTCTATTGCTTTTCCTCACTAGGGACCCAGATGGAAGGATGCTCTTAGATATTTTTGATGAAAACCTCCACCCTCTTTCGGTAATCGCCTTCTTGTGTTTCATGAGATGGTTTAGTGATCTGTTCTTGGTCCTGCCAGGTGGCAGTCATCTGAAAACTTCCTGTTTTCTAGAAATCCGAAGTGCCACCAGATTATGACAAACACAACCCAGAGCAGAAGCAGATTTACCGGTTCGTTCGGACACTGTTCAGTGCTGCTCAGCTGACAGCTGAATGTGCCATTGTCACCCTGGTGAGTGCGACTGCAGAGACTCTTTACCAGGTGACCCTGAGTCAACTTGTAGAAGCTTATGTCTTCTGTGAGACTAGAGAATGGATATCTTCAGAGTGTGGAGTGTTTGAAAGTCCCATTCGAAAGTCACGTATGATGTCCCATTCAAAACCTGTCAGTGCTGAGGTTTTCAATGCAGATGACTCCCACAGGGCTGATGTACTATGGACCAAGAACATCCTCATCCAATGTCTGGTTTCTTTTTGTTCACTCCCCACAATAATCTTAATGACAATAGAATGTAGTCAGGCACACATACAAGATGTGGTGAAATGTCAGTAAATTATGTGTATCTATGGCCTAGTAACTCTGACTAGCTTCTGATTTGTTTTGTATAAATGTGTCTGTTAGACATGCAGATAGTATGGAAACCTGCATTTTAAGGCTCAAGTTAGGAATAAAAAACTATTGCTAGGATGTTAAAACTTCATGTTGTTTAGGAACTAGGTGTAAGAGTGGATCCTCATCATCTCTGACCCTTACACTGCATGTCACTCAGAAGTGAGCTTTCCCTGTTACGGAGCACGCTGGGAGAACAGACTCTGGCCCCCTAGTTTCTGGGGAGACTGTTGTCTAACAGAAGATTTGGTCCCGAGTCTCTCCACACTAGTTTTTATGACCTGGACTAACTCAACAGTTAGCCATTTGCTCATTTATATATTGGTTCATGATTGTTCACTGCCTGGCTGGCTACAGGGTGAGACCTGTCCATATAATCCTTACTGATCTAGAATGGCCGTAGGTTCTGAGATCAAACTGGGGAGTACATGCATTGTTTCCTAACAAGAATTTATACTACAAAACAGGAATTCAGCAGTATGGTTTCCAGAAAAGAAGGGCTGAAAAATCAGGAGACCATTGATGAGATTAAGGGTAAAATTTATGCTGTAAGAAAACTGAGTATTATAAATAATATACAGATTAGTATGTTTCACTGTGACATTTCCATTCATGATAAAAAAAAATACCAACATTGTGAGTTGATCATCTTAAGTGTTCCTCATCTTTCTCCTTCTGTCCTCTCCCTGTTCTCTTTCCCCTCATGGCAGTCTTGGAAGCAGGAAACCTTGAGTTCACTATTGTATATGCCGCTGTCCTGATGCCTCATAGATTGGGATAGTCTCCAGATCTGCAAAGATTACCTTTAAAGAGCAAAAGATAGAGTGTTCCTCTGATTACAAATTCTAAGAAGTTTGTATGTGTGCTTGTAGGTTTGAGGTTTTCTTAGTAGTCACTCTTAGTTATATAGAAATAGTGTTGGAAGAGCAGAAAGAACCAAGCTTCCAAGTGGGAATCTTAGTTAATGCTTGCTCATCCAGCTTTCAGTAAAAGCTCCAAAGCAACTAAAGCAGTGTTTCCATTTTTACTGTAGGGAACCCTCAAAGACTTTCAGACTTGTTCTATAACAAAGTACTGTGAACTGGTAAAGAATTTATCTGGATTTGGTGGCATGCAGCAAGAATCCTAGATACTTGGGAGACTGAGGCAGGAGGATTACTTGTGCTCTGAAGTTTAATGCCAGCCTATGCAACACAAAAATCCTAGGAAGTAAGGGGTAGGGAGAAATGAGGAAGTGGGAGGGAGAGGCAGGAAGGGGCAATGATGCAGTGCTAGGGATCAAATCACACAATAGCTCTGTCAGTGAGGTGCCGCCTTGAGTGTGCTGAAAAATATATACATATACATATATATACACATACACACACACACACACACATAACAATATAGCATCAAGTACTAAAAATCCAAGTGGAAAAGTTTTAGAATTTTATAAATAGGAAGCTATAATTATTCCCTTAAAATAATTTGTTTCTTGGTCACAAGTTAGAATATGTAGAACATCAGTGAGTGCTGAGAGTTTGGATAATAGTTCTCATGCCCTAACATAGACTGATAATATATGAATTAGAATATAACTGGGAGTGGAATGAAGCTGTCAACTTATGTTGCTGACTTGATCTTAGCCTTATTGGAGCCATATCTGTTGGGCTAAACAGAATAGCTGTAAGACTACAGGATTAACACCCAAAAAGAAATTGTGTCGTGTTTGAATTCAGACCATATACCTGACCTTGCATAATTTTTTAAATTCATGCTGGAATAATTTTATCTTTATTGGAGTTGTGTTTATGTGTGTCCTTGATTTGGTGAGTTTGCATTTAATCTCCCATCCCAAAATGCCTTTGAAAACTTTTCTTTGTCTGCAGTCGACAGAGTACTCCATAGCTCCAGAGTTGGCACTAAACTGTGTTGTCTAGAGATTCGTTAGGACAGTCTTTCACGTGACTGTAGTATGAAGTTTTAATTGAACAGTATCCTGTTAGCACTTTCTGGAGATACTGTCCATAAAAATCAGTTGGATATTACTTTACTTGGTAAAGAATTAAAATATACTAAATGGGGACCCCCCCTCCCAAATATGATGACAAGTTCTGCTGAATCACATGCTAGTAAGATGTGCTCACTGTAATTGTCTCCTGTGGTGTAACAGCTGCTTTCCTCACATGTAACATGTTAATGATGATATTATAGTGATGTCTCCTTCCTTCATTAAGCCCTAATTGATATGAATAGCATGTCATAAAAAATGTTGGTTCTTTTCAGGCAATATCTAGTGTATTACTAGTATCCATCAACTAAGGTAGTTTTAGCTCAAAATTTCATAGCCACCTTTCTGCCTGAGCCAGTGGAAATTATTTTATTACAGAGGCTAACCCAACTCATGTGCATAGAAACTCTTACCATGATGTGGGGGATGTCACATCCTGCCTTCAGTTTCTATGAATAAGAGACTTAGGTATTCCAGTTTCTGTTTTTTGGAAGAGTCTGTTGTCAAGCTTTGGGAAAGTATAACTCAGGTTCCCTAAGATGCCCAGCTGAAAGTGAAACTGGCCCACCCAGTTATTTATTTTTATACAAATTAAAAGCATGGTCTAAAATACTACCTCACTGCTGATGTTCCAGTACGATAAATACCATCTAAAACTGGGATCTCCAGAAGTTGTTTCTGAACTTTAGAGTAACTTTCATTTGTATAGTCAACACCAGACTCTCATCCTTGTGGCAGATATTCAGAGCCAGCCACAAAGATTCTTGTAGAGCAGTCCATGCTCTGCCCTGTGATTTCCTGGTCTTCCCTAGATGGCCTCCGATTCTTATGAGTAACTCAGAAGAATGAATTATTTGTTACTCTGAGCTGCCCCTCAAAACCTCATTGCTTTAGCTTGTTCTGTTTGTGCCAGTTATTTCCTGAATGCCATGGTATATGGTCATTTTCCCCATTAACTTCTGCTGAATCTTTTTGCACTAAGGCTATATTATTCCTGTCCCACCGAGGCAGCTCACAATTCTAAGTATATGCCATCTATGGTTGTCTAATGGGCTTAAGGGTGTGTTAAAAATAGACACTTTGGGAGCATCACTCTGTCCCAGCCTTGTGCAGGGTACCACACACTGGATCTGAGACAAATCTTCTGTCATCAGGAACTTACGAGTTTATTCTAGGAAGAGAGTGGAAAAAGAAACTATACTGAAATATGTCCAGATTTTTATTACTTCAGTAAGTCCAGAGTCTTTTACACAATTTACTGACTCTTTGGAATCTGAAATGTTCGTTCTTGCTGGGTATGGTGGCACACAACTGTGCCTGTAGTCCCAGCACTGGGGAAGTGGAAACATGAAGATTCAAGTTTGACCTGGGCTGTGGGTATATTCCAAGTCATCATGAGCCACACTGTGAAGCCCTGTGTCCAAGAAGCAGAAAGATGTTTCTTTTCTTAACAGTTTTTCCTTTGTGTTCAGAGTGTGTCCTAGTCCATCCTGCATAACAGATGGTGTCAGAAAGTAGTTATAAAGTAGTATATAAAAATCTACATCTTCAAGATCTTAAAAATTGATATCTATTAGTGAATCACTGAAAACAGAACAGTGATCTATAGGAACAGGGCAACTGTTACTCTGTCTTCTGCACATACCTGGCAAAGCTTGCTTCACTGGGAAGGGCAGTGGGAAACCCTTGATTTTTCAACAACTTTGGGTAGAACAATTTCCCTATATCTGGCTCAGGGGAAGGAGATGTGTAGTAATAGGAGTGGCGGGGCTGCATTCCCAGCACCCCGGCCGCCTGCTCGGCTAGCTTATGCCCCGAAATAATTACACGGACACTGTATTCTTTTAATCATTGCTTGACCCATTTCTATCTAGCCTCTTCTAGGCTAACTCTCGCACCTGGACTAGCCCATTTCTAATATTCTATGTAGCACAGCTAGGTGCGCTTACCGGGAAGATTGTAGCCTACGTCCATCCTGGGTCGGAGCTTCATCATGTGCATCTGGAGCATGGCGTCTCTCTGAGGCATCTGCTCCCGAGAGGAGAGCTGTGGAGTCTGAGCTCACTTCCTCTTCCTCCCAGCGTTCTGTTCTGTTTACTCCTCCCACCTATCTTCTAACCAATGAGGGCCAAGCAGTTTTTTTTTTATTTAACCAATGACCTTCCTCCATCAGAGATGGATGCTATTAGAGGAGCTAGTCCAGGAACCCTACCTCACTGACTTTTGCTTTCCTCAAACAGCCAAGATTTCACTTCTAGAAGGAAATTTTTCTTTTACCCTCTTCCTCCTCATCTCCAACACCATCACCCCAGCCTTCACTCTTTTTGATTTTTTGAGACAGGGTTTCTCTGTGGAACAGCCCTAGCTGTCCTGGAACTCACTCTGTAGACCAGGCTGGCCTCGAATTAACTGAAATCTGCCTGCCTCTGCCTCCCAAGTGCTATGATTAAAGGTGTGTGCCACCACCACTCAGCCAGCCTTCAGTCTTACTGCTTCCCTATCACTCATCCTGAACTTCTTACTTTTATTTTGTTGGTCACTATGAGAGACAGAAATTCCATTTTCTTCCTGGGTACTTAGAAGTGTGTGAAATAGCCTTTCATTCTCCATACAGGAATGAGCCCAGCAAAGAGAATAAGCCTGTACTCACTCCTCTCCCTACCTGATCCTACCCCATCTTTCTGTCTCCAGCTTCAAACCAGGGAAGGAGTATCCCTGCCTCTGCTGCTCTTCACCTCAGGCCTTGGATCTGTTCTGCCTGCTCAGCATGCTCACAACTTAGGGACATCTTTTGATACATCTTAGACACAACATCTGGTCAACTTACATAGCCTCTTCCCTCTGGTACCTCCTCTTTTTAATGACTATGGCATTAGCCAGCTGCACATTCCAGAAGCCTCGGGTGCTTCCAAGGTGGCTGCCGTTAATGACTTTGAGGTCATTTCCTGTTGTGGGAGGTCACTTGTTCATTTCCTGGCTGCCCAGACTCCTGAAGTAATTACACAGAAACTATATTATTTACAATACTGCTTATTCAATTAACTTATGCATATTTCTAGCTCACTCTTATCTCTTAAATTAACCTATTTCTATTATTTTATATTTTACCATGAGGTTCATGGCCTACCTGCAAGGTTCTGGCTCCCATCTGTCTCTGGCGGGGCTACATGACTTCTCATGACTCCGCCTTCTTTCTTCCAGAATTCAGTTTAATTTTCCCCACCTAGCTCTACTCTGCCTTATCACAGGCCAAGCCAGCTTCTTTATTCATTAACCAATAAAAGCAACACAGGTCCAGAAGGACTTCCCATACCAGTTTCCTGTAAGTGGACTATATCAAGAGGGTCCCCACTTTAAGTGCTGCTTCTCTCTGTTCAGCCTGATTCATAGTTTTCCTTCCAATTCCTTCCAATGGCTACTTTCCAGTCAGTGGTATTGCATGGCCCTTCTCTGACCTGAAGTTAGTGCTGCCACCTGGAGGCTCCTGACATCTATCTATCTCTATCTCTATCTCTCTCTCTCTCTCTTTATGTCTTTGTACATAATTGCATAAATCTCTGTGTATGTGACAGGTTACTTCAGCTAATCTAACTTTGTTGCTATATAGTCCACGTAAATGCCCGAGTGTATACTGGGAAAAGGCTTCTGATCTGTGGCCAACTTTTCTAGCCTACTGAATCTTGTTGACCTTTTTAAGTTTACTTTGTTTAAATTATCTTGTTTCTTATTAAGTGCAGGGGCAAATGTTTATAAATAACTCACAGTCTCATAAAGAGACCTCTGGCTTCATTATGTGTCACAGCATCCAAGGTGTAAGGAAGACCTTCAGGTAGATAAGGATATCACCCTAAAAGTGGGAAGAATAGTATGTTCAAAACTTTCCTGGGGAAGCTTAGAAGCAGTACTCTTTGGAGAAAGTATAAATGAGTCATAAGAAATTTTCTATTAACCTAGTATACCCAAATTATACAAATACTAAAAGTCCCCCAAGTATGCAACAGGCAGAGATCATAACCAAAAGTGGCACATCAGCTAACATGCGGCTCAGCTGTGCTGGGTCTCTGTCAAGCAGCTGTGCTGGCTTTATGCCTTCTGCTGTTCCCATCACATAGAACCTCTGTAACATCCAGCAAGATGGCTCAGCAGGTGGAGACACTTGTTGCACAAACCTGGAGATCTGCCTTCCATCCCCAGAGCCCACAGAAAAGTGAAAGGAGAGAGCTAACTGCATAAAGATGTTCTCTCACCTCCATCTATGCAGCATGGCACACCTTCACACATCATACATACACAAAAGTGATTTTTAAAGATAAAATTACTCTATAGGTCAGTGACTTTTTGGAAATTAACAAGGACTGAGTGTGAAATACCTTGTAGATTAAAAAAATGCATAGGTAGCCGGGCGGTGGTGGCGTACGCCTTTATTCCCAGCACTCGGGAGGCAGAGGCAGGCGGATCTCTGTGAGTTCGAGGCCAGCCTGGTCTACAAGAGCTAGTTCCAGGACAGGAACCAAAAAGCTACAGAGAAACCCTGTCTCGAAAATCAAAAATAAATAAATAATGCATAGGTTTGTAGCCTTTACATTCTTTATGTGAGAATATATATTGACCTGTGGCTGTTGGAATTTATACCAGCCTCAATATTTACAAGATCAGCTACGTTTTCACTGTCACAGCTTGTAACCTCCAGCCTAATCCTAAGAAGACTCTCGGGGCCTTTCAGCCTTTTAGAAATAAGTATGTCCTGTTGAAACATGATTAATAAAACCCAGAGACAGAAATTGGGATTCCAACTGAAGATCTGAAAAGCAGAGCAGCCAGCCACTGACTCTGACCTCTACTTCAGATTGAAATGGCGACCTGCCTCCAGGAATCTCAGCCTCAGAGGTGTTTCCTGCCATGTTATAATCCTCTCTAGGGCTGGGATTAATGGCGTGTGTTAACACTGCCTTGTCTGTAAGGCTGACCAGTGGGGCTGTTTTACTCTCTGATCTTGAGGGAAGTTTTATTTACTAAAATACAAATGAAGTACCACTGCATCTTGGACAGTTGCAGCTTTCAGGTCGGTGTTTTTATGCAGTTCTCGGTGTGCAAAGGAGGAGCTCTTTGTTTCTTTCTTAGGTTTTTCTTGGGCCCCTTTCCTTTCTGTTGTTTGTTTTGTCAATCCCAGTATGTGTTTGATTATCTTACTATAGTTTATAATATTAGTCCTTAGAAGCCTGTTTCTTTTCTAACGAGAGACAGAAAGGGAGAAGATCTGGATGAAATAGGAGGTGGAGAGAAACTGGGAGGAATAGAGGGAGGGAAAACTATAATCAGAATATAGTTTGTGAGAAAAAAAAATCGATTTTCAATTGAAGAAAAAATAGAGAAAAAAATAAAAAATAGATTAAAAATTAAATAGATTATATTTAATTTCTATTTTAAGTATGTTCAACAAATTTTTATGTATATATGTATATTTAATATATTTTTGTCATTGCCCTTGAATTTGTTTGCTCTTATAAATGACATCATTTTCAAGACTTTTTTTTTTTAACTGATTACAGCAGATAGTCATATAAAGAAATAAGTATGTCCAGGTAGCTCCTGCCTAAAGGATTGTTGAGGTGGGATTTATGCTGAGTTTACTTTGGTGGAAGAGACAACTTGAAGGCACTTAGCACTGGCTTCCTCATGTCTCCTCAGGTATACCTTGAAAGGCTCTTGACGTATGCGGAGATCGACATCTGTCCAGCCAACTGGAAGCGCATTGTTCTAGGGGCAATCCTGCTGGCCTCTAAGGTGTGGGATGACCAGGCTGTGTGGAATGTAGATTACTGCCAGATCCTGAAAGACATCACAGTGGAGGACATGTGAGTGTGGCCATCACTCTGTTTCAGGGCTGAGTAGAGGCAGAGCATGCCTCTTTTGAATGGCCTGTACAGTCTTAACTGCTGGGTCCAGCCTTGGCTTGTATTCAGGTCCTGAGATAGGGAAGGGGTGTTGGATGAAGGAAAATTTCTGACCACCAAGTGAATTGCCCGCAGGTGACCCCACAAGGCTCAAACTGTCTTTATTTATACTTAAACAGACCTTTTCTTACATGGACAGCTTTATTATTGGCTTCTATTTTTGACTTTTAAGAAATACATCATAAACTTTATGAAAGCCCCCATTGTTCCCCTGTATGTTTCCCCAAATATACCTTCCTACCCCCTACAAAATCTTATTCTAGATATAGAGTTCAGTGTTTTTTGCAGGTTTAACCATATAATGAGCCAGGCACTTCCATCAGCTGGCAGCTATTGTGGTTACAAATTAAAAAGTAATAGACATGGGCCACATGCCTTAAGGACAACAATATTCAAAACCGAGCAATTCTTCCTTATCTACAAGATATGCTTTTATACAGTTCCCCTTTTCACAAAAGGGTCTCATGTCTTGATCTCTCTGTAAAAGGCAGACTTTGCTAAGGCACTCTTTCCCATCTTACTATCCCATACTTCTTCCACCAACATAAACTCTGGTGTGTGACAAAGATGGATCTCTCCATCCCATATTTTACATTGCATTTTCTCCCATTGGATCATACTAGATCCTATCATTAATTCTATATGCTTGATGTCCTGAGAACTTACTCTCAGTGGTTGGCACTGTGTGAATTCCTGAGGCTTTTTCCATAATCTGTGTATGCATGCCTTACTCCCCTTTCCAGAACTGTGAGACATGGCTAATGTTCCAAGTATTGTTTTCTCACATGTACCTAAGTATCTCTATTGAATTAGAAAAGTTCCTAAGATTAGGAATTGTAGTTAGCAATTCCAGATAAGAAATTTGAGAAGCATTAGCTGCCTACTGAAACTTAGAGAAAAATATTCAAAAAAGAGCAGAATTTCCAGGGAAAATTACAGCTGTTGCAAGTGTGACTGACAAAGAAAACTATAAGCTGCCCAAAGAATTAACAATATAATGAGAGAGAAAAGAGCGTGCCAATTTCATGAATTTTGCATATTCCTATCCTGATTCATGGGTTTATTGGTCCTTGCCAAATGAGAATCCATTTCCATGGGTGCCTTGCCTTAAGGAAACCTTTTGGACAGGTAGTCATATGCTGATCCAAGACTAGGCTACATGGCTCCTGACATAGAGTGAATAAATTTGGCTAAATGTTGTCAGGCCCCGCAGGTAACCTGCCTCTGGACATATAGTGAACTGTATTTCTTGTCATTGTGATCATGAATAGGTGCTGGAAATACTTTCCAGTTTTGTGAAAGTATTTACTGAAACTTTTAACAGGTAAATACTCCTTTGGGGGTTTGTATTTGGACTCCTGTGTCACTTCAGACCAGTAACAAAGCCCATGGTCCTGTGATCAACGAGCCTAACCCAAGAAACTCAGTAGCTAGAATAACATGTGTCCATTTGGCTTCAGAAAGCACATTCCAAATTTTGGTATATTTGACAAGTTCAAATACTAAAAATCATCCATGTATTCCTGGGGCTTGATGTGCACCAGCATCATCCTTCCATTCTTTTTTTATTTTTGGTTTTTCAAGACAGGGTTTCTCTGTAGAAACCTTTTATGAGGCTGTCCTGGAACTTGCTCTTGCAGAGACCAGGCTGGCCTCGAATTCACAGAGATCCACCTGCCTCTGCCTCCCGAGTGTTGGGATTAAAGGCGTGCGCCACCACAGCCTGGCTCATCCTTCCATTCTTTCTTCAAGCCCTGTGGAGGTGTCTCCATGTGGGAAGAGCTGTCCACCTGGCTCCCAGGGCCATGTGAGAATTTCCTAGCTGACAATGAGAGTTATCAGTTGAGGACCTACACACAGAAGTCACAGAAGCGCTCAGCTCTCCCAACCACCTGGAGTCAGTTGTAGTTGGTTATCACTTCTGGCATTCTTTGCCTGGCTTAGCTCTTTAGCTAAGCTCCCTGAGGAACTTTCTACCAGGAGGTTACCAGCTGTATCCCAATTGTGCCACATTCTTGAGCCCAATAAGCCTAGAGTGAGAATCTTTATGCAGCCTGTTGGAAAAGTCACCAGGCTATAAGCATATTGACATGCTGGCCTCAGATCCTTACCAGCCTCCCTCACTATTGCCTCCTGCTTCAGTGAAACCTTATTCTGTGATACCCATCAAAGCTCACAGGCTCAGCTCTGCTTCTGCGTCTGTGAGCCCTTTCTGTGTCTGCTGTTTTGTCACGGTAAGAGGAAGTTATTATTAGCTGATTTCACAGGAGAACAAAGTTCTTTACCATGTTTCAGGGTGAGAGAATGAGAGAAGTTTCTAAAGCACTGTCATTCTGACCCACGGGAGACAAGTTCTTAATGCATGCAATTTTAGCCCAGGCTTCTTAGGGATTACTTTTTCATTAGCTCCCTGATAACCTTCAACTCTTTATTGCATGCCAAGGAATGTGTCTGCTTGACGCTTCCTGTTTGTGAGCATGAGTAATGAATGACTTGGGACTTTGTGAGGTAGGGGGGCCTGAGTTCTTTGTACAGTTATATCTATCCACTTAGAATAAAATAGCTACTGAACTGAGACTACCTTCAGCATACAGTTATTACTTATAACCCAGATGCTTACAAAAAAGTGAGACAATATAGATGAACAAGGCATTGACTGACATGGCGCCGGGGGAGGGGGGTGCTGTGTATTAGTCTCTAGGCTGTGAAGAAGGCCAGAATATTCATTTCTTAATTCATTCTCTCCCTGTCTAAGAACGATGAGAGAGTAAAAATTACATTTACTTTAAAATTCCAGGTATAATGAAGTTTAAAATAATCATGATATGAAAAGCTCCTTTGACTGAATGATGGCAGCATCAACAGTAATATTTCTGCAATTTACTGAATACATCCTAGACACAAAGGAACAGCTTTTGTATGTTTGTATGTTATTGATGGCTCATGGTTACCCATAAGTGCTGGTATTATCTCCATCGAGATGCATTCAAGGTACCAAGAAATTAAGGATGCCCAAGTCCCTTGACTATTAAGTAGTAAGGCCAGAATTTTGATTTCTTCTCGTGGTAGCAGTTTCTTTCAACTATAATGTTTTTAAATGATTTTTCTTGAAATTCAAGTACTTTTCTACACACACACACACACACACACACACACACACAGAAAATTTGGCCAGTGTTCATTCAGCTGAAATTCTTTGTAAAGAATTGTTTGGGGGCTGGAGATAGAGCTCAAAAGGCCTGCCTCACACATCTTAAGATTCTGGGTTGGGCCTCCACTAGTTACAAAAAAGAGATTATTTTGATGACAAAAGAATATATTCTTTTGTTGGACCCTCAGTATCTTTAGCAGTTAGATAGTATAATGACGTTGGAATTTTTTTCCTTGAAGGAAACTGCTTCTTTGTGATTTGAAAGCATTATGGTGCATGTAGTAACAGTACCCTTGCAGAAGTTCTATGTGTTCCATATCTTGTTAAAAGACAAGTAATTGTATTTTACACTGCTTTCTGTCCTTTTTTTTTTTGAGCCCTGTTGCTGACCAAACTCACTCATTGATAGACAAGCCATAAGCTGACACTCATCAGGATATTAGCATTTGCTGGATGGCTTCATGGTGGTGACTGAGCAGGGGGGAAAAGCACATAGGAGCACTTGGTTCTAAAGTGTAGACTGTAATCAGGTTTGGTGACAGAATCTTGCAATCCCCAACATTTGGAGGTAGAGACAGGGAGATCCAGAGTTCATGGCCAGAGTGTCAGTAGTTCTCTTGAAAAAAAATGGAAGGGGACCTCATCCATGGCCTTCTTGCGCCCCCTCACCTGCCTCTGGAGACTCCAAGCCTCCATCAGGCCTGCTCCTTTCTCTCCTGACTAAATAGCAATCTTTTTAGGCACTTTTGTGATGATCCCGCCATTTGTTCTGAAAACCAGATTTCCTGTTTTGAATAGGCTGTTAATCTATAGTGTGTGTGTGTGTGTGTGTGTGTGTGCGTGTGCGTGTGCGTGTGTGCGCGCGCGCCAAAAAGCCTATGTATTCTCCTGAGGGAAACAGGTGACATGTATGGAGAGATGTGTGGATGGATAAGTCTGTCCTATCCCCACCTCCCCTCTCTCTGCCGCCAACCACAGCAAAAGAAAGAAGGCTGCAGAATCTTCCTGGTGGACCATCAGTGCAAAGAATGCTTTGTGTGGTGATCCACCGTAACCATAGAGGTCTTCATATTTTCTAGCTTGACTTGTCCATCTCTAAAAAGTTTTAGAAACTTGTCTATCTAGTGTGTGTGTGTGTGTGTGTGTGTGTGTATGCTGAAGCTTTTTCAGTAAGTAGAATGTCACTCATCTTCAATCCTAGCACACAGGAGGAGTCCCAGACCAACCAAATACCAAGACATACCTCAGAGATAGCAAGGGACAGGTTTCTCTCAACATAATATGTGATTAATACCATTTAAAGTTGTAAGTGTGAACTAGCACCTGAGTCCCACCATTATGAGTCCGTGTTCTCAGAGTGAGGTTTTAGAGTGGCCCCTTTCCTCATTGAGCTCTATTTCTTTTTGAGTTTGTTCCATCATTAATCTTTTCCTTAAAATTACCCGTAATAGAAAACGTGCATACAGACTGGAACTGTAGTGCTAATATCTGGACTACAATAGTGTCACTTATAGTCGGGTGGTAGTGGTGCACACCTTTAATCCCAGCACTCGGGAGGCAGAGGCAGGCGGATCTCTGTGAGTTTGAGGCCAGCCTGGTCTACAAGAGCTAGCTGCAGGACAGGCTCCAAAAGGCTCCAAAGCTATAGAGACACCCTATCTCCAAAAGAAAAAGAAAAAGAAAAAAGTGTCACTTACAAAAACCTCTTCATCTCATTAGCACTCAGTTGATAAGAACAGTATAAAGAGTC